TAAGCTTATGCACTTAGTAAAAAATCAGAAGACCGATTGCGTGTGTGGCTGGGTGCACTTGATAAACTCATAATGAGAATTAGTCGAAGTTGACGTTCAGATAAGTGGTTGACCGAAACCAACTTAAACACATGACGGCCCCTCCCAGTTTATTACCTGGTCGTTGTGCCATCAGAGGATTAGTGCTACAATTCGAGATTCTTTTCTGATCTCGGTTATTTGGCTTTCATAGAGGTGATTAAACTTTAACCCGTTGGCGTTTATTGTTCAATATTACTTCATGTGTAGAAGAATGACACGTGTCGCAAACGGATGCGACGACAAAACGCACTGTAGATCTACACAAAAAAACGGTAGTCTTAATAAGCACTGTAGGGGAAAAAAGGATTGTTGGAAAGGAATAAAAAACTGGAAACACAATCAACTAAAACATCTCTTAGGTTCGTTATTTATTCATCTAGCCACAAATATAGACCTATTTCCTCAGATTTATTTTACCTGTACCCAATTATCTCTTAGAGGACGATCGGTAATTGTCTCCGCAGATCAATAAAAGCGCATGTTGAAACGTTTGTCCAAAGGTGCACAGAAGACTGACATAATCTGTGCGGAACACTTGATATTGATCATCACATCAGTTGACACGCATCAGCAAAAATGCGGTATCGTTAATCAATAGTGGAGCAAGTTGCAGTATTCATCGATGATAAACAGTGGCTAATAGTCTCTTTGACCCTGCTTTTGTTCAGGCTTTTCGTGAACTTCATTGAGAAGATTGTGCTCTGGTGAACAAACATAGCTCCGTAGCTCCAGTAAACCAGCGGTCCGAAAACTGTACCAATCCATAGCAAATCACGGAGTTGTTGTCCATTAATCCCAATTATGTGGTCTAGTCACCGGAAAACCCCAGTACCATATCCTTAAAGAGCTGTTGCCAAATCTAAAAAACAGTTCAGATTCTCAGTCTCGAAAGTAGAACAGAACGCGAGAATGTCAGACTAACCGAGTCGATGAACGATCTTTAGAATACTAAAAAAAAGACAAGTAGAATAATCATTCGCTTGTAATTCCATATGACATGACATCTTATTTCTTGGTTACGGCAAATCATAACAGACACTTATCTGTATCTCCTTAACCGGGATATTCACCAAAATCACATTTTGTGCAGTAATAGGGTTCATCCGGGTTAATAAGCATGCATTTCTGTTTCTTTTCTTTTTAATTTCTTTGATTCAACTAATGCAATGGTACAAATAATTTTCAGAAAGGTAGAAGCTGTTAATGAAAGGGCTACCGTGCATGGAAAAAGAAAGAAAGTTAGTTGAACGTGGTGAGATTCGAACACGAGTCATCCAGTGACCTTAACCGCTTGACCACCGTCCACTTGCCCATGAAATCAAAACAGCCTATGTGGATAACTAGGCAACGGGACTCGTCAGCCATACGAGAACAGAGCGCTGGGGAAACCAAAGCAATGCTGTTGAGATAACATAGGTTGTTTCTTCCCTGATTCCCTTAAATAGTATACAAACCAGATAAGTTATATTATTCTTTGAAATGAACGATGGACCAGGTCAGATGAATAAACCTACGGATCTTCTCACACAGCTACTCGTCGAGAACAAAAAAAATTTAATTTTTAGGCAGCTTCTTTAGATGGACAAGACTTCCAGGATTCGGAAACCAATTTTGCACGGGTATGTTCCAGAAACATTATTAAAGTTCGAATATAGAACAGAGGCAACCAAACACATTTTAACAACGGTGCAAGGGTGCAATGAATTCCATAACCTGATATTCCTTATTTATAATCAAAACGTTTGAGCTAAATGTTTACCTCCATTCATGTATGTGAGAGCATCGCATTTAGTAAAATTAAAAATAACCACAGTCACAATATATATTTTGAAACGATTGCCGTTCCAGTCTGTTCTACCTCTTCAGTTTCCTCCATATCAAATACAGATCAGACCACCCCTGTGCAGCAACCATAAAGAAAACAAGGCAGAGGAGCTTTTGTTCAGTTTTCAACGTTCATGTGGTATGCATTAGACAGAGGAACAGTTTGTGGCATTGTGTCCGATTCTTCATCGCATGAAGAACTTCTAATGCGGAAAGGAAATTTGAGATTTTCAAAGAGCAATTAGTCCGTTGGGGGGGCTCAAATATTAGAATGGAAAACGGGTTATGGGCACATAAAAGTCTTGTTGATGTGACAAAACACGAACAGAACTGTGCTGTAGGGGAACAAATGGATCACTTGAGTTGTTGTTGTTGTTGTTGTTGTTGTTGTTGTTGTTGTTGTTGTTGTTGTTGTTGTTGTTGTTAGCAATAAGTGGGCAATAAATTCTTACACCTAATTCGTTGAACAATAGTCAGGAATATGCAGACAATTATAATTAAAAACAACTCAACTTGAACTCACCAGTATATATTTTCATCCACTATCACCAGGGCGAGAACCACAATTGAGAAGAGGTAGAAAGTGCAGTCACGAACTAGGGGCCACCAGTTTAAATAAATCACCTACAAAAATCAGATTCACGATGCAAATTGCTCATTATTTCGCTGTCAAATAACAATACGAACAGTCAAATAAGTAAATGCAACCATTTATTTACTTTATCAGCAAGCTGAATATACTTCATCATCGGTGTTGGCTACCGCGAAATATGCCGTGCCCTAAAGCCTTAGGCACCCATTTTGAAAACGACCCTTCCGTTCTGACTAGTTCTTCTTCTCAACCTCGATTAATCCCAGATGCCTCCTGTTTACGCCACTCATCGAATATCACTCAGCGTTTTACAAGCAAGGTCAGAGATTCAGAAGCTATTGGGTTTTTAAA